GCTTTACAACTGCCTCAAAGTACTTTAGATTATTCAAGACCCCCTCAATGATAGGGTGGTTAACTCTCAACTAACTATAAAGGGTGGTTAACTCAATGTAAGCACATATCGGGGATTACGTGCTGGTTAACTGACTCAAATAACTTGGTACATAGATCAATGATCATCAGTTTAGTACAATTTTCTACTAGTAAATAATTCTTAAAGCAAGTGAAACTGTCTGTATATGATTTGCTACAAATGTTTATCTTGCTATTTAAATACTCCCTGACAAGGCTTTAGGAAAATTATCGGATCAGGTAATATTTTGGATTATAGGTACTATGTGGAATATGTGTTGTCTGAATGAACAATTCACTGGGTTCGAATGAACATTTGTTGGTATTTTTGTAAGCACAAGCCTCATTAAACTTTTGGTATTTACAAAGTGTTTAAATATGAGCAAACACCGACTAGACTTTCGACTAACAACAACTGGACTAGATTTTCACATAGGTAGGCATCGGTTCTGAAGAAGAAACTAGGAAAAGAACTCACAGAATCGAGAGTACGCATCAATGAGTGTCAAGGGTTTAGTCAAGAAGTTGGCTAGTTGGGTTTCGCCCTAGCCTCTGATTGGCAAATTTGGTCACTTCCCCAAGCATTTACTGATGAGTTATTCTTCTGTTTTAGAGGTGGCCAGCGTGGCGGTTATGGCAAAGGTAAAAGCACCAATGCCCTTTTGTGGCTTGGTAGCCTTTTGATATTATTTATTTACTTATAATGAACCGTTTTTCACATTTTACAAATATATATATATTGATAGTTTGGATGGGATTAATTTGGCACTGAAAGAAAACACTAAACGTTATAATTTGCTATAATTTAAATTTCTTCAGAATGAAAACAATTTTAAATGTCGCTTTTCTGTTGCGTGAGCTTAATTTATTTGAACAAGTTAGACACATCTTGCGTTCTTTCAGTGCGCTTAGTTACGTAAATAATGTTAGGCATAAATTCTTCAAAAATACGTTATTTTTTATCTGGTCAAAGCGTAATTTGTAGTAGGGCAGCTATAAAAAAATGCATTTTGGCATTAAAAAACCACCGAAATGGCTAAATCTAAAGTCTAAATAATATTCATTGCATTATCGGATGTGTTGCGTTACAAAACAATTGCAAAATCACGCAAGTTGTAACATGGGTTACAACCGGTTACAAAAATCAGGATAAAGGGGATATAAAGTAATTAAATTAAAATATCCCTGTTCAGTAGATTTAAGCGCAAAAGGTATTTTGACGGTTGATATTAGTGGTGTGAGATTTAATTACTTTGAATACCGTACCGACTAGATACTTTGGATTCAAAACTCGTTACTTCGGATCAGTTATTCAAGTACTCATTCTAGTCGTGAGTCTTACGAAAGTCGAGGACAAAATATTGGTATATTATTAATGCTCTTTAGATTTGTTACACGCACACTTTAGTTATACAAATCATATGGAACTCTTGAAATTATGGTTTCCCTAACAGATTACGTCTAAGAAAATCAGACCATTTTTTTTAAGTCAGTTGTTAATTGGTTCCCTATTATTGTACGCAGGTATTTGAAACCCCACGGTTGTGCATACTTCCAGTTTCTAAATAAATATGTTTTAAACAATTTTTGAAGTTATTTAACTCTGTGAAGCAAGATGTCACATTAATAAATAAATGTTGCTATCTACAGTAGCAGCACAGTGCGACAATTATCTATTTTAATAAACGTCTCTTACAAATCTGCAGTTTACACAAAAGTTACAATTGTCATGTTACATAAATGTAAATATAAAAATTCTAGATTACCATGCGGCAACGGACAACTCTGTTTTTAGTGATTAGGAACGACCGACGTTGAAAATCGAACGCGGCTGTCGGTATCCATCCGTATCATCGGTGCTGGTATTACCAGTTAGTTTAGTTACTAGTTAGTCTGTGCGAGTACTCTGGATCTATCGGTTTAGGGTTCGGTACTGGTACTGATCTACCAGATACTTTGGTTGCCAGTTAGTCTAGTACTAGTAGCGTATTCGGATTCGGACTCGAAGGTTAGGATGGGTGACTTGATTTTCCGAGAACGATTACTGATTACTTGAATACTGGTTTGATATCTTGGTTCGGTATTCGTTACTTTGGATGCTGATGAGTAATGAGTACTGGAATACCGATTAGGTACTTTTTCCCACCACTAGTTGATATACTGTTTAGTTATGTAGATGTACTTTAACATTAAAAACGGTTGAGCCGTTCCGGGAAATTTATGGAAAGGACTAATGATTGGTTATCAAAGTTACATGTTTAATAAGCAAAATTGGAATAGTATGGTGTGATAGGGAAGATAGTGTATAAAATGTATTTGTTAATCGCAGTAAAGCGACCTAAACAGATACAGAATTTGTGATCGACTGCGGCATATGGTTTTTACAGGCTTGTCCCAATGCGTCAAGGTTTTTGGTGTATAAATATAATTAGGTCTCAGTAAAGTTTGTTTTTTACAATAGCTAATTCTTATCACGCGCCACTAGTCAAAGAATTACCCTTGTTACGTTATAGGAATAAGAATTTGTTTAATATTATTTCTTTCGTGACTAATTTTGTACCATTTACAGGTGATGGAAATCTCGTTATTCAACATGACACAGTATTTGTTTCTGGAATGGACCCTAGTTTTACTGAGGACGATATCGCTGATCATTTCGGATCTATTGGCATCGTTAAGGTAATGGCGCAACCACCCTACAAAATTTGCGACCTGCACTCTGTGCTTGAATACTGCAATATTCAAGTTCAATTTTGAAGCGTCGCTAAACTATGATTCAGCTCCTATTCATCAATTATCAGCTTTTATTTGATAACTGACTTATTATGCCTGCAACATTTGAATCTTTGGCACTTATTTTTTGATAAATGTTTTTTTAAGTTTCGGTATTTATGTATATGTTATTGTAGATGGACAGGCGCACAAACAAGAAGAAAGTTTGGCTGTACAAAGACAAGAACACTGGTCTTTCAAAAGGCGAAGCCACAGTAACTTATGACGACGCCGACGCGGCTCAAAGTGCCATCAAATGGTTTGATGGTAAAGATTTTAGAGGCTCAGTCATTAAGGTTAGTTTGGTCTTTCAAAATTAGTAATTTTCTTTTGTTTTAACGCGAGGCTGTTTCAGGTCCAGTTAGCCACGAAAAGAGATAACTGGAGTGGCGGATTAGGGGGACGTGGAGGCGGTGGTGGTGGCCGAGGAGGTGGCGGATTTGGTGGAGGCCGAGGAGGTGGCGGCGGTGGTGGAGGATTTGGAGGAGGACGTGGAGGCGACAGAGGTAGGGGTAGAGGTAAAGTATTTCCAATTTCCCGAGTAGATTCGTGCCAGCTTTAACAGTCGAGCAATATGTTTGTGTGGCTCATTCCGCATTTAACTGCTTTCAATCTGCAAACATCTTGTTCGGAAAGTATCACTTTCTACAAGGCATTTTTGGACTAGCTTTGCTGTTAACACTTCTTTAATTTTTTGCCTTAATATCAATCGCTAGCTCTAAATGAGAGAAATAATTAGATATCTTTGTGTAGGTGGCGGCGGCGGAGGTGGTCGTGATCGTGAATCAAGAGACGGAGACTGGAAATGCAGTAATCCTGAATGTGCAAATACTAACTTTGCCTGGAGAAACGAGTGCAATAGATGTGGGGAACAGAAACCCGCTGGTGGTGGTGGTGGTAAGTATTTAAAACCATGTTTGCTAATGTTGAATATGTGTAAATACCATAAAAAGAACATTTTAGAGTGCCGTGATAGGCTAATATCTAGTTCTGCCTTGGTAGAAAGAACAGTGGTGGACTTTCCGTAAATAAGGTCATGATTTGGTTTCAGGCGGTGATGACCGACGTGGAGGTGGAAGTAGAGACCGAGACGGAGGTCGCAGAGGAGGTGGTGGTGGCGGCGGCGGATTCCGTGGAAGTGACCGAGGATTTGGCGGAGGTCGCGGCGGCGGAGGCCGTGGCGGTCCTCGAGGCGGTGGTGGATTTGGCGGAGGTCGTGGTGGTGGCGGCGGCGGCCGAGGAGGTGGCGGTGGAAGGTAATTGAATTGTTGGTTTTCTTATCGTGCATGTTTATCCTCTTTCGCTCTCGGCAAAACCTCTGGTGGTTTTGTCTGATTTTTATAAAGAGGAAAAAGCAAAATTCTCTATTAAAACCCACCATAGTCCAATCACATGGCTTTGAGTGTATCCTGTCTGGAGAAACACTTTCTTTTAACTGCATTATTTTGACTAGTATTTTATGTCGGTATTTGCCTTTAACCTTACCATGCCTTTTTATTACAGGGACCGAGGAGGTCGGGACGGAGGACGTCCTAAACCTTACTAGGGTTAAGTTTACATATAGAAATAAGTACGAGTGCGCTAATGTAATTTTCGTTTCATTTATAATAATGTACTAAGTAAATAGCAAGACTGTGGTTATTATGTAATTTATTTTTGTGAACGTAGTTTATTCGGTTTGTCGTTGAAGACAAATTTTACTAAAGTATATGAACATAATAAAGCTTTTAAAAATTTTCGTCGTATTATTAATTTCTTCCGTTATCGTCTACAGGTAGGTATTTCAATTATGTTTGAATATTACTGGCATTATTCAGCAATGTGTTTAAATCGATTTACCTGGAAGGTCAAGCGATGTTGACATTCTCAGGAGTATTTGGCCACGTCCAATGTAATTTATTTACATTGAAAGTGGGCAGAAGTTAGTGTACAACTTGTAAATATAGGCCAAGATAGTACGACAATACCGAGCGTATGGTTTAGGTATACTAAGACCATAGCTGATACTAAAAGCCACTCAAAACTGAAAACACTGGAACGTGATTGATTGATTAGTGAAGCACCATTATTACAAAATAATATTTATTGAAAAGAAAACTATCATCTCTAATGCATATTTATAAATAAATTCATTCTATATCTACGTTAATTTTATAACAAAAAGTACAATTTAATGATAAATGTTTATTAATAACCGATGAATATGTGAAAACTCACTAAAATGTACAAACAAAAACATACATCAGTGTAGTATCAGTATCCACGTTGTTGCAAAATGTTTTTACAGTATGATTTTATTAATAGTACTATTGCTTTCATATAGCGCTATAGCTCAATAGTTAGATTGCAAATGTACAAAAGCCCCTTGAAAACATCAAAATTTTAAAAGTGGTAGTACCAAAAAATTACGTAACTAAACAAGCCTGTCTTGGGTTCAGATAGTCAGTCATCAGTTGTTTCCCTTCTTCTTCTTCTGGTCCTGTTCCTGAAACAATAACGTTGCCTTTGTTAATATTGAACTAACATTTGAGCGCAAATGAATCAATGGAATTTCCATCAACCGCCCCTTAACACATTCGCTACCACTATTAGAAAGGCTTCATACCTCTTAGTGGTATCTGGCAATGACTTTGTCTCGGTATCAATTGAAACTATATCACATTGGTAATAATTGAGAAAGAAATAAACGTTCTAAGATGCAAAAAATGGTGGTAGATGGATTAAATTTACTAAATCATGTTTTTAAACCCAACTTTTGTTTCTGCAGTCCTTTTCCAGTTATTGTAGCCCTCAGTAACAAAAGTCAAACTGCTGGTTTCACCTTGTTTGAAGAAAAATCTACAAAGGAAAATGGAATACAGCATCTTTGAGAATGTGTACTTAATCCAAAGATACATGACATAATAACTGAACTTAAAACTACGAAGATACTACACAACCATACTGTTTTTTAGGAAAACTTGCTAAGACCCGGCTGTCTTGAAAGTTCATGTAGCGATAGAGCTACTTTTTCTTCTATATGAAAATATTTGTACTGTATTAATATTATGTACTTAAAAACTTACTTTTCAATTCCCGAACAACTCGGAATGTTTTTACGTTCCCAATCATTGTTGTCGAATTTGATCTGATTTTTTAATTTAATTTATTATTAATAACTATAATTAAAATAATTAACCGCGCCCAACCCTGCGGTCACTGCAGCGAATGTGTTAAATGTTCAGGGTTCAGTTGTGGTTGGATGAGTGAAAATCCAACAAAAATTAATAACCCATGAATGATATTGACCTATTCTCTATTACCTTCTGAGTAAGGATAATGAGCAGCCGCTTGAAGACTCCAATGAAGTCGACGAACAGATCCAACGAATGAGCCACAAAGTCCTTGCTGCCCATTCTTCTCTTTTCAATGATGGCCTGGGTGTCATAAAGCACGAATCCGCACATGGCGAACAAGCCCAAGTAAATCTGGATGTTCCATAGCAGAGTGGAGCCAAACAAGATATTGGCCAGGCTCATGAGCATTAGGCTGTTTAGCAGGGTAAACAGAGTGCCGCCCAAGTAGAGCCACTTTCCCCTTTCGGAGAAAATGGCACAGATGCTGAAGGACACGAAAACGACACTTGTTGCAATAAATGCTGTTATAATGATGCTAGGGTTGACTAGGATGACATGTTCCAGCAGAGGACCCATTCCAACGCCGGTTAATGTGGCGAAACCAAGGAGGTAGCCCACCCTTTTCATCATGCCTTTGCCATTGTCATCGGGAGTTGATATTAACAGGAAGAAGAAGATAATGGCTCCAATTCCAGACAGAAAACCTGCTTGCAGTAGGTTTGTGAATAGGTGTATTGAGCCGCCCACTCCAGCCGCCAAGGTGGACATCGCCAGGCAGGCGTAGACATTCTTGAGATGTTGCTTAACTGGAGGCTCCCTGTAATTAAAAAGTAATTATTGTTGCAATTATTCAGCTATTGTTTTATGAAAGGGCGCGTGTTTAAGTGAGGTGAGAGTTTTGTTTCTAAACACAAACTTCTCAAACGCTCTACCAATAGAGCTATAAGAACATATACTAAAGTATATGTTTACATCTAATATACATTAAATAACATCTAATATGTTTACATCTACAACCTACAGCAAATTCTACTAGAACCAATTATTCCGAACAAGGATTCGGTATAGTAAGAACAGCTAGAGATCTAAATTCCCGGCAAATCTGAAAATTTTGCACTTAAAAGTACAACTTTTACGCACCTAAATTCGGGCGAAATGTACAAACGAAAAAGCCAGTACCCTGAAACTACCTCAGAGAACAGCAATCCATAGAAGCAAATACGTGGAAAGCTGGCTGTTATTAAAGAAACCTCTGAAAAGTGCGTTATAGATTTTAACTAAACTCTGTGATAAGTGAAAACAAAGCCGTAGATCTTCTCCAGCGGACTCGTGTAGAACACTTTCACTATAACAATTTTTAAAGTAGGACAAGTCGAAAAGAAGAACGTCCGCGTAAAGAACATTCGTTTTTCCTCAATTCTGAAAGTTTGGCTATTTCTATAATCACTCGTGATTTAACGATTTAAAACATTGTCTTTGCTATTTCAAATAAACCCCTATTATTACAGAATAATGTTTTTGGATTCGCAATTAGTTTCCAAATATTTTCCTCTCAAACTCTTCTATATCCATCTCTAATCGTTTCCGAATATCCAATTATTATCAAAATTGGTTGTTCAAAACAGTTCTAATTTAATGATTATAACTGCGGCATCTGGCTTTGAAAAAATTAAAGAAAAAAAAAATAAAAAATTTTGGTTGTAGTAAAGTACTAAACACGTTTTATCTACAAAGATAAAAAGGGCCAGTATAGGGATATCAAAACCGTAATTTATATGCAGTTGGTTAAATGGAAAAAGTTGCGCAATTAGAAGGTGAACAACCTAGCGCTTTAAACCTTTTGGTTAAAATTTCGATTTTTTCGGTTCGAAAAAAACCTAAATTTCCTAATTTCGATTACATCTGCATTATTTTTCGGCGTTAATAACAAATCTGGAACAAAACTGACTGCACGTTCCCGCAGCAACAAGTCAGCGAGAGAACCACATTATTACTTAGTTATACGCTCCGACGTTTCACCTTCAAGAAACCATCATCAATTTCGTTCTTTCAAATATGGCTCTGTCTGTTTATTAGCAAATTGTTAAACCCCTTTTTATTCCGAAATCAACCATGCATGCTACGGTTTTATTATGTTTTGTTTTTTTGCTTGTCATTATTTTAAAATTATTATTGTGAAAATGATGATCATTTTTGCGTTTAGAGATAAAAATGTAGCAGACTAAATTAGTAAGCAAATCCGTAACCTGTGAATATTAAAATTCGAATCACCCGCAACTAAACTAAAATTTATTGATCAAAACTCAATTCAGCAGAACCGCATTGTTTCAAACAAATAGCAAAACGAATAATACTTTTTGATTAATCATTAGATCACGATTGAATAAAGTAACAGACAAAACTTTAGAACAAAAGAACCCCTATCAAATCTTACGTAGAAATTTTCGAAACAAAATCAAGCATAGAAAATGATTCACACTTCAGAGGAAGAACCTGACTACAGGCAGCAGCTAAAAGAAGCTCAACATCAAATATAATGGACCACACCCTAAAAAAAAACAAAAACTTGAGACCGTAATTTGCATCAAAGACGTAAAGGATACCAAACAAGCAATGAAACTAGTGAAACAGAATATTTGCAAATAAAATAAAATAATTGAAGCACTTAAAATTACAAGATGTAGTGAAAGTAGAGAACAACACAGGGCATTAAAAAAGTTCATACTGTTTCAAAAATGTTGGATTTAGAGAAGTTGATCACTTTAGTGAACACCTGGTATAATATTAAAATGTGTAAGTCTCCTAAATAAACAACTGATTCGATAGCTGGCATTTATTTTAGTATAAAGTCTAATGCGCCCTACAATCGGATTTGTTTATCTTTAGCTAAGAATGTTGTTTTGTTCACAGCGATCATCCAAACAAGTTGGAATGTGAAACTTGTCTTTGAAAATATCGCTGAGCGAAGACAGGTACTTTGTACGAAATTGTCAACATTAAACAAGTGAAATTGAACTGCAAAGCAAAGCAATTAGTCATCTAAAGGGCGACCGAGCAAATGATTATATCATGTTGCTTCGGTAGTTCCTTAAGGTGCGTCCAGACCACAGCGTAATACCGCGCCAAACATTCGCGAACGTTCACACACAATTTGCGCCTTGCGTCTACGTTGCTGCAACAATAATTTAAAATGTTTGCATTTGCCAAGGTTCCAGCTTGCGCAGCGAAATAAATGTGCTGTTCGTCATGGATGATGCTAAAATTGTAGCGGCAGCTTTCATAATTTTGGGTGATTTATCTAAAAGGAAAAAATAGAGTGAATATTTCGCACTGCAAATTTCAGAGCAGAAGCTTATTATTATTATGGCAGTGATTTGCTATGCGACCTGGTAATTGCAGATACTGGACAATTTAAAAATTTCTGTCGATTGTCTAGGCAAAGCTAGTAAATGCAGACCATCTGCTGGAATAAACCTCCTGTCCTAAAATGTATCAAGTTTTTCAATTTAAGTTGATGTCTGATTGATTTAAGAAAATATCTTTTCCAGTTCTTGTTGTAGTTTTAATTTTGGCTCTTTCCCTTCGAAATGAAGACAACAATGAACTCATTTTTGCTTTAATCGATTCTATGTCGCTCTTCATCTCTGTTGCGATTTTCAGCCATGCATCGTATTTTTTATTTCGTAACTGGTAATTTTTATTACCGCAATCCCATAATTCACGCTGATTTTTTTTTAAATTTGCAACGTTCGCGAATCTTTGGCGCGGCGGTATTGCGGTGCGGTCTGGAAGTACCTTTAGAAATACGGAAAAAAATTCGATATGACATGAGTGTTCTAAAAACTGTTTGAACAGTCAGTTCCTTACAGACAACGAATGGAATATGTTGCCAGCCCTTTGTGTTATTTGAATCCCGTTCTTAGATGGGAAATATAGAATCATAGTGGCCCTTATGGGAAGTGCAACAGTTGCTCTTTCCTCCTACTACCGGATTGAAGTTTCCAAATCTGAATGCGTTATCATTGTATGGTCAAGTGTAGTGTGAACTTTTTGAGGATTACCTAATGGGCGTAAACTGGAAGACGGGCCCCCCAGCTTGCAGAAAGTTAGTAAGAATGATCTCTAATCTATAAATCTCTTAACTTGAAATTATTTTTGTTTTTCGAAAAGCAACTGCAGTTTTATGCATTCATTACATTTCTGATGTCCAAATTTCTTTTCAGTCTGATGGACAAATTTCCTGCGGTACTAAACAGATTTTCTTCCTTCTTTTCAGATGGCATGATGCAGCTTTCGGTAAGTTTTGCATTAATTTACCTTGGTTGCCATGTAGGACAAAAATCTTTTAGTTCCATATATGTGGTTATAAACTCGAGATTTTCTATGGGAGGCTGTTTTATACGAAGTTTTACAGTCTAAATGTCAAATAAATTTCGTTCCCCTGTGCATTAGCTATCAATCAGAGGTTGAGCCAAGATTGAGATTCTCCCAATGAGAATTGACTAAAATTCAATCAATAACCTTGTACTTTGCAACTCTGATCAACAATTCTTAATAACAATTTTCGATATTCTCACAAACTAAGGTACTTTATTCTTGAGGAAAATTCGTGTTTTCTGATTTACCTCGTATACGACTGAAATAAAATAATATCGGATGGTTGCATTTTAGGGTTTGCACCGAGCAGAACTTTCTATGTCACCGAAACATTCGATTTTTGTACAGTAATTTTCCAGTTTATTAGGCTGTAGCGTTCGAAGTTAAGAGTATCTTGTTCCCTAATCCCGTTAGGAACAACTTCTCATAGCAGTGTTTTTTGTAGATTCTAAATCCCTTCAAGCGTTTTTGTTACTATCGTTTATATTTTTTTTTAAATAACGTTAAGCAATTATTTGCACACAATCTAAGATGACGTCCTTTGTTTTCTTATAGAAAAAAAAATGGTGTGCGTCACAGGACGGTCGACAGAAGTGATAACTACATAAATTAATAGAAACCATAAAATATTGAACTTGCTTAACGCATGATGGCAATAATTATTTTATTTTATAATTTTAATATTCTTGTTAGTCTAATAATTTATAAATGGATCAGGAATAGGTAAAATTTAATTT